TGAGTATCGACCCATGAACCAAGAGGCTGCCAGTTCAGTTCCCAGTCAGGGCACATGCCTAGGTTGTGGGCCAGATCCCCAGTGAGGGGCATGTAGGAGGCGGCCAATCGATGTTCTCTCTCATCAATGTTTCTATATCTCTCTTCCTTTCTCTCTAAAATCGATTAAGGGGAAAAAAAATTTTTTTAAGTGAATTGGGTCATAATGCTCCTCGGCTTAAAATTTCAAGTTTTCACAGAACTCGGTTGGTGAGTGAGTTGGCTCCTGTCTACATCGCAACTCCTATGCCACGCTACTCCTTGCTCATTATACTATGCCACATCCACAAAAGCCTGCTTTCAGGTCCTCCAACATATCCTATTCTTAGTTGTCCCAGGGTCTCTACACATGCTGTTCTCACTTCCCTCCATTCTTCATCCTTCAGATCTCAGTAAAAAAATGTTGCCTCCTGTTTATAGAGTATTTTTTTTTACCTTCACCCGAGGACATTTTTCCATTTTTTGTTCAGGTAGAGTGGGAGGGAGAGAGGAACAGAGAGAGAGAGAAACATCAACGTGAAAGGGACACACTGAGTGGCTGCCACCCGCACGACCAACAAGGGCTGGGGACAAACTGCAACCGAGGTATGCGCCCTTAGCGGAAACTGAACCTGGGTCTCTCTGGACCGCAGGCCGACACACTAAACGCTGAGCCAAACTGGCCAGGGCTATAGAGTATTTTTTTTACTAATTTAAAGAAAAATTTTTTTCCCTTTACTGATTTTTGAGAGAGAGGAAGTGAGAGGAAGAGAGAGACAGAAACATCGATGAGAGAGAACATTGACTGGCCGCTTCCTGCATGTCGGGTCCACAACCCTGGCATGTGTCCTGACCGGGAATCAAACCAGTGACCTGCTGGTGCATGGGGTCGATGGTCAACCGCTGAGCCACACTGGCCGTACTGTTTTTACTAATTTTTTAGAGAGAGAGAAAAAGAGAAGCATTGATGTGAGAGAAACACATAGATTGGCCGCCTCCTGCATGACCCCCACTAGGGATAGAGCCTGCAACCTGGGCACGTGCCCTGATCAGGAAATCAAACTGGGACCTCTCAGTCCATGGGACGATGCTCAATCACTGAGCTACATTAGTCGGGCTGTTGCCTCCTGTTTAAAGTAGCTCTCCCTGTCTTACTCTGTATCTCATTCCTTGTTTGTTTCCTTCATAATTTCTAAATTTGCTTACTTGCTTTTTGTTTCTTCCCCACTACAATAAAAGCTCCATGAGGGTAGGGACCACAGTAGCAAATGTAAAATGGAAGAGGAGACGCCTTTCTGGAGATGTCTGAGAAGTACTAGCTGTATGTAGGTCTCTCTCAGCTCTCAGAGTTCTCATTCCAACTCATCACGCTCCATATGGAGCACCTTTTTGATTTCAAAAGTAACCAAAGACAAGGTTTCATTGGAAAATTGCATTAATTCCAACTGCTATAAACCAAACTGTACCTCCCCAAAATCCTTATGTGGAAGCCCTAACTCCAGTCTGATGGCATCTGGAGATGGGACCTTTGGGAGATAATTAGGGTTAGATGAACTCACGAGGGCAGGGACCTTATGATGGGATTAGTGATCTTACTAAAAAAAAGAATACCAGAACTCTCTCTCTCTCTGCCATGTGAGGAAAAGCTAAGAAGAGAGCCCTCACCAGCACCCAGATCTCAAGATGTCTATTTTCCAGAATTGAGAAATACATTTCTGTTGTTCCAACCAATCAGTCTATGGTATTTTGTTATGGCAGCCTGAGTAAGTAAGACACCAACCAAAATGAGAATATTCCACTTGCAATATAACCAAATAAACATGTAAAAAGATACCTGGTGCAGTAGCAATGTCTATCAAGACTCCCAATCCAAACCGTTTCACTGTTTGTTTGATGCATTTCCCCAAACAGCCACACTTTTGAAGACTAAACACTGTTAAAGCTATTGGTTTAAATACTGATCACTTGCAAAAACTCAAATGTTAGAAGACCTGACAGCTGGCACCAAAGGGTGGTGGTAGCACCCTCCCTCAGCCATCCTCCCACCTAACTGCTCCATGCACTAAAATGGGTGACTCAGGCACACCAAGACATATCAACAACTGTGTTTTGTTCACTGATGTTTCAGTTAGGAAGTAATTTGGGTTGGGACTCATGACAGCATATAGAGACATTTCCTTGGGCAATCTTCCCATGGGATTTCTGCCTAAATGAGAATCTCAGGAGCTCTTTATTAAACTATTGTTTGCATTTTTTTTTAAAGTACACATTTAAAAAAGCTGAGTTTTTCCCTCTTTAAAACTAGGCTCTAATTGTAGATTAGAATGATACAGCAACTAGATTCTTTGAGATTCTTTGATAGAAAATTAATTTAAACATGCAGAAGTTTACATGCTTTATAAAAAGAAACAGTTTGGCTCGGTGGTTGGAGCGTCGGCCTGCAGACCAGAGAGTCCTGGGTTTGGTTCCTGCTAGGGGCACATACCACCCCCACAAAAGAAACAGCTTAACACTATTTTTTTTTTTTTTTTAATTCACATTATTTCTCTGATACTTTCTACCTTGGAAATTTCAAAACAAAGTCTTAAAAACAGTGGTTTTAAAAAAACACCCATTTCCATCTTACAGGGAGAAGTAAGGAAAAATAAGCAAAGCAAAGTAGTTGGCAATAAGTCATGAAGGTCCCAAAGTCAGAGCTCCACTTCACAAGAAAGGGCAACATCCATGCCAAATTTCAGAAGTATAAAGTTTGGTTATAAAATGGAGAAAGGCAGCCCTCAGTAGTTAGAGCATCAGCCATGGACCAGGGAGTCCCAGGTTCGATTCCGCTAAGGGCAAGTACCCCAGTTGCAGTTCGTCCCCAGCCCTGCTTGGGGTCGTGTGGGTGGCAACCAATCGATGTGTCTCTCTCACATCGATGTTTCTCTCTCTCTCCTCCTTCCTCTCTCCCTCCTGCTCTATCTGAAGATAAATAGATAAATGCACAAATATCCTAGGATGAAAATAAAAAAATAAAATAAAATGGAGAAAGGTAGTATGAGTATTTTGCAATTAAAACAATCAATGCTGCTCTGGGGCCTGGACACAAAGTACAGTGGCAATAAATAGGATGCATAAGCTGAACAGACTCTACATTTTAGAATCTGTGATTCCAAATATTAATCAATATTGCTAAGTGCAATACAGGACAAAGGACTAGAAAGGAAACTTTCCAAAGTACAAAATTCTGAGGGCCCTAAAATAGTACTAACCCTTAAATTTATTTACTTATTTGTTTGTTTATTTATTTTTTAATCCTCACCTGAGGACATTTGTTTTTTGTTCAGATAGAGTGGGAGGGAGAGAGAGAGGAAGAGAGAGAGAGAGAGACACATCTACATGAAAGGGATACATCGAGTGGCTGCCATCCGCACAACCCAACCAGAGCTGGGGACAAACCGCAACCGAGGTACATGCCCTTAGCGGGAACCAAACACGGGTCTCTCTGGACCGCAGGTCAATGCTCTAATCGCAACCCTTAAATTTTTTAAAAGATTAACACTTGTTTATCTTTCTAATGCTTTTGTTTTTTGTTTTTCTTTTCTTTTATTGATATTAGAGAGAGAGGAAGGGAGAAGGAGAGATAGAAATATCAATGAGTGAGAACATTGAATGGCTGCCTCCTGCATGCCCCTCCCTGGGGATCAGGCCCACAACCTGAGCATGTGCCCTGACTGGGAATCAAATTGGCAACCTCTTGGTGCATGGGTTGACGGTCAACCACTGAGCCACACTGGCTGGGCTCTACTTTTAAGACCTTCGTCTGTACAAAACCAAGTCCCACCTATGAGAATTCAATGTCACTGTGCTCCTCCTTCCCCTATTTGCCTACTGCAGGGGGAAGGAACAGGAGCGCACAGCTTGGGGAAGCAAAACGTAGCTTCTTTTCATAAAAAGGTTTTAAGCCCCTGGCCCAGACATTCATAACAGTCATTATACAACTAGAGGAAAAGATAAACTAGCCTTCCCAACCCATTTAAAAACAGAATCTTCTAGTTCTCCACTGTATGTCTCCCAGAGATCCAGTAACTTGTTCGTAGTGACCTGGAGAATTGGTAATTACGCTAGGAAATAAAACTCACGTCTCCTTCTCTTAGTCCAGTGCCCTTTCTAATACACCAGGTTGCCTCCCATTTAGTAATCAAAGTAGTAAATCAAGACCAGAATAAGTAGGGAATCTGCATAAGAAGAACCCGAGTCACCTTAGTCCTGGAGTGTATTCCAACCTTGAAAAGTCAAATGAAGATTTGGGAAAAGTCTGCCAACAAATCTAGCAGAATATTTCATACTCAGTGGACTCTAGTTCTCCATCATATCAGCCCCTCAAATCTTATAACTGTCCCACCTCATGAGTGCAAAAACAATTAACTTTTTCCCCAAGAAAGTTTAGATTTAAAAAAGGAGAAAATCGTCTTGTTTCTTTCTGCCAGAATTTTGGCACAGTGGGACTGTGCAGGAATGCATCTACTGTGGAATCTTCCCACACTCCTGAGCTGTTAAGAGTAACCAGCAGAGGCATGTTCCATACACTCCCCAAATATCTGAGCTGGCAACAAGAAGATATTCAGAGATCTTAGCCCTGGGACAATAGCTTCTGTCAGTCAACTACAGTTCTCATGACTCTGTGTTTCTGCTCTTACTTCAACTTCATACCAAAGAGCATATTACACCTATACCAGCACTTGAGAAAACCACGCAAAGGAATTCACACAGTAGTATAAAGAAATTTTGGTAAGGCACCAATACTAATGATAAAATATAATTTTTTTAAAAATTCAAAGACCTTAACACAAGCACATTACTCTTAGTATTTACACAGCATATTTGACAAAGAACCTGGGGCCTCAATAGCCTGTCCTTGAGACCAACACACCAAAAAGGATTATGTAGTTTCCATGCAAAGAGAGCCGGTAAGAAGGCAAAGATTAGCATTTTATCTCTTACCTGAAGCCAAAGGTCGGATCCATTCTTTGCTATTCAGGTCAAGTCTCCAGAGGTCATTGAAGGCAGCATTGCAGCTGCTTTGGGTACAGCCTCCAAACACATACATAGACTGATTAGCATCATAATAACATGCACCTAGAAAGAAAACAATAAGTAAATAACTGATGTTTAATTCCGAGATCCCTCTAACACCTTAACTATAGCACATATCTTTCAAAGATCAATTATTTCACACATTTTGCAACTCTTTTAACCAGGTACCAATTTTCTACAACCAGCCTACTGTCTTCAGGTTGGTCAGTATCATGCTAATCTTTAAAATAAGGCCCAGAGGAAAAAAAGGAAAATGTTATTTCTGGGCACACTAAGCAAAGTGGTAATGATGTCATTAAAAAAAAAATAGTATAATTCCAGCAAGAGCACACAAGAAATCAGATGAAGGGTGAAATTTCAGCACAGCTACATAATTAATCTAAATCTGCATCATCCACTAGGGTTAGGGAAAGATAGTCAGTGCTAATAGATATACTATTCTCCCATTTCTCTCCTCCAGTCTTCCTCTTGTTTTCAAATGAAACCTAAAGCACAAACCAATAAACAAGGCTTTATATGAAGGAGAATGATGGAAAATTTTTATCAGTGCCATGACATAATCACACATGAAAACCAATGTAGCACAGGGATCTCAGAAGTAGTATAGTCCCAAAACAACTAAGAACACAAAGCATGAAAGTCATTAAGCTTCTACGTGTAACCAGAAGCCACCAAGGCAAGCTAGTTGGTGCCAAACAGAAAATCAATGCAGTAACATTGAAAAAGCAACAAGGTCTCTGTGAAGAACCTTTTTAATGAGTTGATCTATATACAGCTCATCAATGGGCATCATTCTAAAAAAGAGAGGCAATGATTATGAGGGGTGCTATTCCTTTAAAACTAGGAAGATCAGAGCCAGAGTCTAGATGAGAGGCTTGAGAACTAAGCTCTGCCACCTTGATTCTCATTGAAAGCTCATTTAGTCTCTCCTTTGGAAAAGATGACCACACTCCTTACACTCCTGCATTTAGCATCCTGGACCTTAGGAAGAAGGCCGAGCAAAACTCCCCTTTCTATTCATTTCGTGCATACCAGTGGGAAAAAGACCTCTCAAAGTTTGTGTGAAACGAGGCTCGAACAGTTGAGAGTCATATAAAAGGAAGGAGAAAGGAAAAATAAATTCAGAAATTCAACCCATTAGTGCAGGGTTTTAGTGATCATTTAGCATATTATTTGTAGGTCTAGTTCAACTTAGCATACCACTGTTTTTAAGATCTCTTCTGAACTCTGGCACCACTTATTCAAGTTCAGAAAAAGGGAAATGCTACTGCTATAATTACCTCTGTGATATGTACTAGCTCTGGGAATAACCCTCCTGGTTTTTTTTTCTTAACTGAGACTACCCAATAGGCACTTTAAAGAATCTCTACACTAGGAAGGTCAAGTCAAAAAACTGGATGAGTTAAGAGCCAATAAAAGCAGTATGTTTGGTTACTTATGCCCAGTTATCTCAATCAGTGGAAGAAGTACACCCAAATCATCAGACCTCTGACACTGCAATAATGGAGCTGCACACTATTCAAATTAACGAAGAAATTAAAGAGACTAGAGATGTGAAGAAATGAAATACCATCCAATCATCAAAAAGCTCACACCTGCAAAATAGTTAATATATTCCCAGAACTCAGACACACTACAGTGGTATATGAAGATTTAAATGATCTTACATCTTCCACTGACTGCCTCTGTCTTTGAAAATAACTTCTAATCTATATCTAAATCAGTTTTTAAATCTACATCCCAACAACCAAGTGTATTAAGAAGTAAAATCCTATGAAATTATACTGTTCATATTTGTTAAAAACATGATTTGTTAAAAGCTACAAATAATGAAGGATCAAATTAGATGACATTAGACAAAAAGAACAATTACTGAAGCCACATTTTCTATTTTATTTTATTTTCGTTTAATTATGAAGTCATATTTTCATTGCCACTAAAGGAGCTAAGCTTCAGATATTTTGGTCTTCTCATACCTTTCTTGAACTAACTATCCCAAACAATGGGAAAATTTTGAACTGAACCAACTTGTGGCAGGAGAACATTCTTTTCCTCTTGCTAATCCATACCTCCAGAACAGAAATTAGCAATGTCATGTGGTTTCTGAAATCTTAATTTGTGTCCATTATAACAATGTTTAATAAAACAAATTCGTGCCCAGCCAGTGTGGCTCAGTGGTTGAGCGCTGACCCATGCACCAAGAGGTTGCAGGTTCGATTCGTGGTCAGGGCACATGCCCAGGTTGTGGGCCCAATTCCCAGTGGGGGGCATGCAGTAGGCGGCCAATCAATGTTCTCTCTCATCAATGTTTCTATCTCTCTCTCCCTCTCCCTTCCTCTCTCGCTAAGATCAGTAAAGAAAAAAATTTTTTTAAATAAATTAATAAAACAAATCGTGATTTCATAACTAAGAGTCAGGGCTCAATCATGTCTCACCAATCTTCAAAATCAACTCTTAGCAGCTGCTTCCTTCATGTAGCAAAAGAGCACAGTGCCTTTATTTATCAAAGAGGTAGCAAACATTCTTCTTCTCTATTTGGACTGAAAACCCAGCCAGCAGTTGGGCCCCATGAGGTTCTTAACCACATGTATTTTAATCCTATACTAAAATAAGGCAATCGGCATTTTCCTGCTTCTCTTTGAGCAAACAAAGGTTTCTGGAAGAGGAAGGCACAGCCCAAACTACACAAAGATAATAGGACTGAAACGACAAGTTTCACACACTGTATTTTCAATGTCCAGCAGTCAATTATCAACGACGCTTGGAGAGGAAGGGAGTCAATTTAAGCAGCTAAGTTTAGAAGTCAGATATAATGGAATGAGAAAATGGCCATCAATAATACACTCAAATATTTTAGGCATCCAGTGAACTTTGTTTATTGTCTATTTTTATTTAAGACACCTACATGTTGGTCTGGGGGGGGGGGGGCTGACAAGTTCAATGGGCCTTTTAGAAAAAATTTAGAATTTAAGCAAATACCAGTGCTCAAGTAGTCATTTCCTTTTTACGAAAGTTCTCCACCCAAAGAGAATTATTTTCCTTTCAGCACATCTAGACCATTGGAATGTGCCATACAAAAGTTACAGTTCATAGTACAGTATGAATACTCTACTAAGAAATAACATTAAAAATGTTTATTCCAGTTGCTAAGCCTCTTCAATCTTCAAAAATGAGTTTGGTTGCTCCATGAACAATTACTGCAAGACACATCCCTCAAGTTAATACCTAGTAATCCCTATTTGAAGGCAAGTTGAACATTCACAGTTACATACACAGCAAGCAAATGATTCTTCAGCATTTCAAATACTTCCCTCCTATACTACAATCCTCTGAAGTATAAGGTCTTCCAGTTGTTTTATATTTTCCATGGTGCCTGGTAGTCACTCAATAAATACCTAACTTTTGCCTTTTCAGATGTGAAGTTCTCTTTTTGTTTCCCCACCTGTCTCCAGGGAAAGGTCCTGAGGCATTTATCCCATACTTAAAGAGACTATGCTGTCATGGGTCTCACATCTACAAGCTGGGACATATTTGCTAAGGCCTGTAATTACATAACTATGGAACAAGCAAGGCTGGTTACCCAGTCTGGGCCTGCTGGCCACTGCAGGAACACGATTAGCATGTGTCTGAAATGACCTAACCATATTTAGAACCTAAATACTAAAACTTTTTTCAAGACATGATGCTGGGGACTCAATAGACCACTATATCAATCTGAAAAGGACATCCTACAATCTGAAAAGGACGTCCTACGTTAATCAAGGCTCGCATGATTAGTCATTCACACACCAAAAAAACAAAGCAGGCTTTATTTTACTTCCCTTGCCTTTTTTTATCCAGACTTTTTTTTTTTAAACTTAGTAAAAAAGCTGTACTCCTTATATCTTTGTTACCTTTAATTCCACAGAATTTAATAAATTATCAACTATGAACATGAATCAGGTGTTGTGAAAAGTGCACAGCCGTCTCAAGACACTGTCTGTCCTCAAGTAGATACCGATCTTGTGGAGGAGCATCATCATTATCCTATCATTTTGCAGTTTAAAACATTTTTAAACAAGTGTTTCTTCAATTAAATTTCCTAGCAAGCCTGTGGCATAAGAATTTGTCATACACATTTTACAGATGAAGAAATTGTGAGTCAGAGGAGCCAAGAAACTTGCTTCCCAAGTCTAAAGTTCTTTTGCATACAGCCTCTCATATATATGCAATTATGGTAAGAGACAGACAGTTATAAACAATAAGAGAAAGGTATGAAGAGTGTATTAGAGAAGTACAAGCAGAAGGAAAAAGAGTTTAATCTCCATGGTGGGAAATTCGAGAGCAGTTTTTGAAGAAGGTGGCTTTTGGCTTTATTTTTGAGATGGTTTTGAGAGGATAGGACATTTTTTGGTCTGTCAATGAGGGGCAAACAAATCTAGGAACAGAAAAAGAACAGGAGGGAAAGGGAGAATGAAATCAGGACACCCAAGAAAAGCCATGAAGTAGGGGGGTTTAAGACATAACAATGAGTCTTGCATGGATGGTCTACCTGTGTAAGGATAGAGCAGCAGTGAGTTAGGCTGAAAAGGTAAGCTGGGCCTTGAAAGCCAGGTGGAATGGAAACTTCTATGTATAGTATAGAGAGAGGTTGAGGCTTTTTGGAAGAAGAATGACAAGGCTGGTTTTAAGTTTCAGATTTGCAGTGTTTCCCAACAGGAGCGCCTGTCATTTCGGACAGGCCAATTCTTTGTGTGTAGGATCATCCCAGTCTTTGCAGGACATTTAGCATCCCTGGTCCTTGTCTACTAAACGCCTGTAAGTGCTTTCCAGTCAAGACAATAAACAATGACTTTACACATTTTCAAATGCTCTAGGAGGTGGCAATGTCCCCAGTTTTAGAGACGATTGCCAACAGTACCTAGTCCAGGTTCAAATGAAGAGAGAGGAAGGGCAAGAAGACTATTTAGATAAGACTTAGGAAAGATGGAGTGATTAGATCATACATGTGAGTAATGGGGAAACAGAAAATATATGAGAGATTGCTCAGACAGTACAAAATCAACAGGGTTTGACTTTTGTTGTTGGGGGAAAGAGAGGAATTGAGGATGAATCCAAGATTTCAAACTTGTATAACTGAAAGTATGATAATGCCATTAACTAAATTAGGGAGAAAAGAAAATTTGGGAGGTACTACTGAATTCTGCTTTTAGCCGACTAAATATGAAGCACCTGTGCATCTCTGTGGCACTGGAAGCCAAGACTTGGAAATGCAGATCTCAAACTCAACATGAGCTGAGCATGAGATGTCGAGTTGGGCTCAGGGGATAAATATAGGGTTGAAAGAAGTAGAAATTAAGAAAAAAAATGAAAGAAATTTCTTGTTTTCAACCTCTTTTGAAAACTACTATTTCTCTGTAATAGTCGCCTTCAGTTTCCAGTTAAACAACACGTAAAAACAGATAGAAACATGAGAGACAATAAGACACAGAGGCATCTCTTTAAAAAAAATCTATGGCACCTTTTCTCAGATTTCAAGTAAAGGTATGAAAAAAATTTTTGAAGTAAAAACAAGTATGAAAACCCACCAATCTCTGAACTTCTGGGAGCTTACTCATTATACTATTCCTTTCCATCTCCCCTTTAAACAACTGCCTGTATTTTGTGACACTTTTTCAAAAACTAGTTAACTGGAAAAAGTTTTTTCTCTTTCTCATCAGAAAGCTAAAAACTGTTGCTATGATAATTATTCATCTCCAAATTATTTCCTACTCTGGTTTTTATTTTACCCAGATTCATTCTATTTCTCCCACAGTTCTAAAACTTTAAAAATAAAATCTAAAAAGTCATCTTCAGACTTTAGAAACCTTGTCTCTACTTCTTATGCCAATGATCTGTAGATAACTGAAGTTATCCCTCCCTCAACAATAAATACTGGACCTAACATGGATCCTCCTGTAATTTCATTCAATATTCTCAGCAAGGATTCATTTTACAGTCTATTGCAGTGATTGTCAAAGTATGGCCTGTGGATTCCTGAAAACATTTAAGACCCTTTCAAAACTATTTTAATAATATTAATACTAATAAGTCCGAGGAGGAGGAAGAGGAGGAGGAGGAGGAGGAGGAGGGGAGGAAGTAGAAGTAGTTCATTGCCTTTCTCAGTGTGCTGACAGAAGCAATGGTGGATAAAAGTGCTGCAGTCTGTGCATGACCAAGGCAAGACACTCAACGATTCCAGGGATCACTGTGTTCTTCACTGCCACACACTGACAGTCTAAAACAAACACAGCCAGTTCTGACTTCACAGATCCCCAAAAGTGTCTCTCACACTCCTTCCCAGAGTTCCAGGAATCACACTTTGAGATCCATTGCTCTGGGGAGTTTATAACAGCACAAGGGAAAATAACTCCTTGAGAGAACTAAAAACACAGCAATATTTTGGCCTGTTCCTTTTATCCATTTAGATCCAATTCAAACATAATAATGAGTTATAGTAATTATGTACTGAACTATCTTCTGCATACAGAGTTATAACACATGATCTGGGGTAGCCTCCAATGATCCTCACTTCCTGGTATTTACACTTGTTCAATCTCTATGTGACCAATAGAATACAGCAGAAAAGATAGTATTCATCTCAGAGATTGGGTTGTAAAAAACACCATGGCTTCTGTCTCAGTGTCTGTCTCTGTCTCTCAGATCATTTATTCTGTGGAAAGCCAGCTGCCAAGTCATGATCAGCTCTATGAAGCCCATGTTAGTAAGGAACTCCTCCAGTTAAGTTACTTAAGTGAGCGTGGAAACAGATCCTCTAGGCCCCTGTCAAGCCTTCAGGTGACTATTGCTCCTGGCTGTCAGACTGACTGCAACCTCATAAGAGACCCTGAGCCAGAACCTCCTACCTAAGCCACATCCAATTTTCTGACCCTCAGGAACTCTGTGAGTTAATAAATGTTGTTTTAAACTGCTAAGTTTTGGGGTATTTTTTACACAACATGTATAATCAATACACTCTCCTTCCCCTTAAGAGTTTAAAATATAGTTTAAAAAAAAAAAAAGACAAACATATAAGCTAACAATGAAAGACATTGTGAGTTAAGTGCCAAATTAGAATTCCAGGCAACATAAGCTCAGAACAGAAAATATTTTCTATGGGTTAGGGAGTTGAGAAAAGGTCTTATGAAGGAGCTGAAACTTCAACCGAGTCTTCAAGGAGAGAAGATTCTGTTACGTGGATGGGAATATTCCAGGGAGGAAGAAACAAGTATGGCAAAGTGATAGTTTGAAAGACGAGAGCTCTTGGGAAACACTGGGAAATAAAGTAGTAAAATTAGACACAGGTCAAATTAAAAAGGACTTTGAATATAAGACTAAGTTTAACCTTTATCTTATAGGCAACAGATGGGCGATAAAGGTTTTTGAACAGGGAAATAATATAATTAAAGTATTAATTATAACAACTTTCTAAAAGGCACATCTCTCCCCTCAGTGAGCTCTCTTTTTGCAGAACCATTAATAAACACACCTTTACTGGCCTAAGGTATACCACATCTCAACTCCACTGATGGAGGAATATGAATTGCAATAGAATAAAATGTGTCTAAAAAAAAATCAATTAAAATGGGGACTGAGTTAATTCTAGAATCATTTTATAAGTCTAAATTACATCTATTTTCCAGGACATTTTATTTAGAATTTTACTATTTAAATTTGTATTGTATAATCAATAACTTTCACATTAAAAAAATTTTGTGTGATTCCAGTCAAATTCAGTGTTTGCTAAACATATACTATGTTAAAATAAAGAGTTATTGTAAAACTTAGTGCTAAACTCTGGCTACCCCCTGAGCAAAATCTCAGAAATATTCTCATGTATATCATTCCTTTGTTTTCCTCTTACACGATGTCAGATGTTTAAAGTTTAAGTATAACACCTTGACCTCTTTGGAGTAAACATACAAAAATTCAATGAAAAGCAGAATATAAAATTATACCAAAATATCTATAATGTACTTAGGGTCATGCTCTTCCCTAACTGTGATTATAAAATTAATATAAATCCTCACTTGACATTTCTTTCATTAAAAAGTCAGACAAAATATATGCCTCCAAAGTAGTTTTTAGAAACACAGGCAGGGTGGGATCTGCTTTCACAGTAAATACTTACTGTGTGAGAACCGCTGAGTGATCGGGGTTCCAGGATAAGGGTAAGTCCGACTCTCCCACTGAATGTTTCCTTCCTGAACAGCCTTTATGAAACCGTGATAACACTGGTGAGCTACACCTAAAGACAAAAATAACAAAGGCCTCAGCCTAGACACATCACTGGTAAGTCAAATGATTAAAACTGCATCTATTTTTTTCAAATGTGTTTTTATTGATTTTTTAGAGAGAAAGGAAGAGAGAGAAAGATAGAAACATCAATCGACTGCCTCCTGCATGCTCTCCACTGGGGACTGAGCCTGCAACCCAGGCATGTGCCCTGACTGGGAATCAAAACAGGACTTCTCAGTCCACAGAAAGAAACTCAATCCACTGAGCCACACCAGCCAAGCAAAACTGCATCTATTTAAATGTCTTATTACTTTATAAGACATAACTTTCCTTAAGGAATTCCAATTTCTTTGATTTTTCATTCAAAGAAGAAAACAGAACCCTGGCCAGATAGCTCAGTTGGTTAGAGCATCATCCCAATTCAACAAGGTGGCGGATTTGATCCCCGATCAGGGCACATACAAGAATCAACCAATGAGTGCATACATAAATGGAACACCAAATCAATGTTTCTTTCTCTCTTTCTCCAAAAATCAATAAATAAAAGCTTAAAAAAAAAACAGAAAAGAAAAAAATCAGACTTTCAAAACTGGAAGATCCAATCCTTTCATCTGCCAAGTTCAGGAAGGTTAAATGACTTGCTCAAGGTTACAAAATTAGCTCACACTATAACTCTGCTACTCTTTATATTATATCATGATGCAACACATCAAAATAATTGGTATTATTTACTCCAAAGCAAAAGGGCTGGTGGACAATTTAGCTTAATGATAAATAGGTGTTCAGTAAATATCAATCATTAGGCTATGGCAACTAAGCATTCTCCATCTTAAACAAGGAGATAGATAATAATTAGTTTATAATAGATTATTATTACTATTTATAACTAAGTTATTTATAATTAAGAAAATCTGTTTTAAAAAGTAAAAACTTGGGCCCCGGTCAGTGTGGATCAGTTACGTGGGCATCATCCCATGCACCACAAGGTCGCCAGTTTGATTCCTGATCAGGGTACATGCCCGGGTTTTAGACTCGATTTCCCCATAGGGGCATGCAAGAGGCAGCTAGTCAATGTTTCACTCTCACATCAGATGTTTCTCTCTCTAAAAATCTTTTTTTTTTTTTAAAGTGAAAACTTGGAGTATTGGAAATCTTGCTCCCTGGCATGTCAATTTGACTGAAATAAACTCACAAAATTTTTTTTTAAAGTGAGAACTTTCGCCTGGCCAGTATGGCTCAGTGGATTGAGCATCATCCCATGGACTGAGAGGTCCTAGTTCAATTCCCGGTCAGGGCACTTGCTCAGGGTGTGGGCTTGATCCCCAGTAGGTGGCATGCAGGAAGCAGCTGATTAATACTTCTCTCTCTCCCTTCCTCTATCTCTTAAAAAAAAAAAAATCAATAAAAAAAATTTTTTTTTTTAAAAAGTGAGCATTTGCTCTGGCCGGTTTTTCCCAGTGGTTAGAGCATTGGCCTGCGGACCAGAGAGTCCCAGGTTCAGTTCCCGCTGGGGGTATGTACTTCGGTTGCAGTTTGTCCCCAGCCTGGTTGGGGTTATGTGGGTGGCGACCACTCGCTGTGTCTCTCTCACATAGATGTTTCTCTCTCTTCCTCCCTCTCTCCCTCCAGCTCTGTCTGAGGATAAATACAAAAATGTCCTAGGGTGAAGATAAAACAAACAAACAAAAAAAGTGAGAATTTTTACTATAACGGTTCATACGTCCAAACCAACAGAATGTGCACCAAGTATGAACCCTAATTTAACCTATGGACTTTTGGTGATGATGATGATGCACTAAGAGGTCTCTAGTTCGATTCCCGGTCAGGGTACATGACCAGGTTGTGAGCCAAATCCCTAGTGGGGGGCATGCAGGAGGAAGCCAGTCGATGTTCTCTCTCATCAATGTTTCTGTCTCTTTCCCTCTTCCTTCCTCTCTCTCTAAAAGCAATAAAGAAAAAAGATTTTTTTAAACAAACAAAAAAAGAATGTATCATACTTAAATTTATTCCACCTCAGTGGATCCATAAGCAGGATGACTGTACTTATTATACATGTTTTCCAATGATGATCACTATCCCTTGTTTGAACTCATAGTTATGACTTGGAATATCAAACATCACTGCCAGCTATAACATTGGTGAAGAAAGCAACACAGATCTACAAATGTTGAATTGAGGTAAGGCAGTACTGAATAAATGACAAATGCATAAGAAAAAAAAGTGGTCTTGACAGTGACTTCCCCCAGAACACTTAAAACTGTGAGTACTAGGTTAAAGTTTCTCTCTTTAAAAAAAGACAAGCCCTGGCCCTGGCTGGTGTGGCTCAGTTTGTTGAAGTAGTCCCATGCACCAAGAGGTCACTGGTTCAATCCCCAGGGCGGGGCATACAGGAGGCAACCAAATGATCTCTCCCTCTCTCTCTTCTCTCTCTCTTCTCTCTCTCTCTCTCTCTCTCTCTCTCGTATGTTTCTCCCCCTCCCCCCTCCCTTCCTTTCTCTTGAAAAAAGTCAGTAAAAACATATTTATTTTTTCTATTTTTTTAAATTAATTTATTTTTGTTACAGATGTTTTTCCTTTTTCCTCCACTGATTCCCCCCTCCCCCTCCCTCCCCTCCCTGTCCCCAGCTTTGTTGTCCATGTCCATTGTTCATGTATACATTAAAAAAAAAAAAGACCAGTCCTAACAGGTGTGGCTTAGTTGGTTAAAGCATCATCCCATGCACCAAAGGGTCTTGGGTTCGATTCCAGGTTGCGGGTCCAATCCCCAACAAGGGTGTGTACAGGAGGTAATCAATTGAGAGGTAACTGATCGATGCTTCCCTCTCACAGATGTTTCTCTCTATCTCGAATCAATAGGAAAAAATATATTTTTTTTCATATATTTATATATTTAATTTGTATGTTCAATGCCCTCAGGTGAGGATTAAAATAAACAAACAGCAAAGTGACATGAATGCCAAATAAAGCCCAAGAATAAATTCATATATGTGAATATATATGATCAGATCACAGCCCCTGGTCCACGATCCTTCCATCTCTATTTAAGAGGTGAAGCCATCTATTTCCACAGTGCAGGGAGCCAATCTCTCCCGAAGAGTCCACTAACTCTGCCAACAGAAGCAGGCTGTACATACCAGTATTACCAGTTATAAGCAAATGAGTACAGGACCCGGCAAGCGGTTTCAACACAACTGGTCCTTAGACCTCCAGGATAGACTTGGATAACTGACAAGAATCACATTCCCCATGAGAACCACTCTGATGCAAGGAAATGATTTTTTCTTTTAATTCTCACCCAAGGATATTTTTCCATTGGTTTTTAGAGAAAGTGGAAGGGAAAGAGGGAGGGAGGGACAGAGAGAGAGGGAGAGAGAGAAATACTGATATGAGAGAGACACACTGATTGGTTGCCTCCCGCAAGTGCCCTGAATGAGGCTGGGGATCTTACAACCTAGGTACGTGCTCTTGACCAGGAATTGAACCCAAAACCCTTCGGTCCTCAGGCCGACGCTCTAACCACTGAGAAACATTAGCCAGGACAAGGAAAAGATTTTAAGACTGATTCTTATCGAAAGATTTTTTTCTCTTTCATATTTCCGGTTGCCTTGCTTCCACCAGGAAAGAATAAATTGTTACAACCCTTGCTTTAATCAAAGATTATTCAACTGGCCTGGTCATCTTCATTAAAATAACAATGGGCCCTTTCCACCTAAAATGGAATGAAGCCAAATAACTGATTTATATTAATTAAAAATAAAGCACAGGAGGCGGCGGAGCAGGTCGGTGGTGGCGTCTGCCCTCCCCAGCAGACGCAGAGATGCAGATCTTTGTGAAGACCCTGACTGGTAAGACCATCACCCTTGAGGTTGAGCCCAGCGACACCGTTGAGAATGTCAAGGCTAAAATCCAAGACAAGGAGGGCATCCCGCCTGACCAACAGCATCTGATTTTTGCGGGTAAACAGCTAGAGGATGGCCGTACTCTCTCACACTACAATATTCAGAAAGAGTCCACCCTGCACTTGGTGCTTCGTCTGAGGGGTGGCATCATTGAGCCCTCCCTCCGCCAGCTCGCCCAGAAGTACAACTGCGACAAGATGATCTGCCACAAGTGTTGTGCCCGCCTGTACCCCCCTGCTGTCAACTGCCGCGAGAAGTGCGACCACACTGACAACCTTCGCCCCCAAGAAGAAGGTTAAACAAGACTCCTCCACCTCCTCAGGCCCACAGGGCCATCTTCTGCCTAAACCCCGTGACTCTGGGACCTCAATAAAGTTTCTGTTTTATTTTATTTTTTTTTATTTATTTATTTATCCTCACCCGAGGACATTTTTCCATTTTTTGTTCAGATAGAGCAGGAGGGAGAGAGAGGAAGAGAGAGAGAGAGAGACATCGACGTGAAGGGACACATCGAGTGGCTGCCACACGCACGACCAACCAGGGCCGGGGACAACCTGCAACCGAGGTACATGCCCTTAGTGGGAACCGAACCCGGGTCTCTCTGGACCGCAGGTCGACGCTCCAACCGCTGAGCCAAACCAGCCAGGGCAAGTTTCTGTTTTATTGACTGGAAAAATTAATAAAGCACAGCTAGTAATCTCAACATTTAGCTAAAGTTAAAATCTTGATTAGAAAATGGAGAGAGCACAGCCAGTGTAGTTCAGTGGTTGAGCATCGACCCAAGAGGTTGCCGGTTCGATTCCCGGTCAGGACACATGTCCAGGTTGTGAGCCAAAACCCCAGTGGGGGCATGCGGAAGGTGGCCAATCGATGTTCTCTCTCATCAATGTTTCCATCTCTCTTTCTTCCTCTCTTTTCCTCTCTCTCTCTCAAATCAATAAAGAAAAAAAAACTTTAAGTATAAGATATCCATGCTTTCACAAATCCATATTTGCCACAACTAGCCACTTTATGGTATCTTCATCAAGTACATGGACTTTAGCCCTGTCCGGTTTTGCTCAGCAGTAAAGAGCGTCGGCCCGCAGGCAGAAGAGTCCCGGGTTCGGTTCCCGCTGAGAGCATGTACCTTGGTTGCAGTTTGTCCCTGGCCCCGATTGGGGTTGTGTGGGTGGCAACCAATCGATGTGTCTCTCTCACATCGATGTTTCTTCCCTGCCCCCTCCTGCTCTATCTGAAGATAAATGCAAAAAAATATCTTGGAGTGAGGATTAAAAAAAAAGAACATGGACTTTAAAGACTGCCTGACTGTGAATCTTTGATTCTCCATTTATTTCCTGTGTGACTGTGGATAAGTTACTTACCTGTGCCTCACTCAGTTTCTTCATCTATTATTACAGCTCGCTGAGAGGACTGTAAAGCAGTTATAATAGTGCCTGACAATGTTAAGAGCTATATTAATGTTAACTATTACTGTTATCCCATATCCATCCCTAGCTTGCCTATTTAAGAACAACACACTTTACCAGATCAACTCTAAGAATATGCAGAAAAGAATCCTTGTTTTAAAACTGCAAATTGATTAAATTTTATAGTATTCAAGCTATTCATAAAACTATCCGGGAAAAAGTGAAAAGGAAAATTACAATGTTAACTAGCACTACATTTTAGAATCACAGTAAATTTAAGGAAGAAAAGAGAAAATAGCCCTGGCTGGGTGGCACGGTTGGATCATTGTCCCATACACCAAAAAGCTGTGGGTTCTATTCCCAGTCAGGGAACATACCTAGGTTGCAGGTTTGATCCCCAGATAAGGTGCATGTTGGGGTGGAAGAACCAATAAATGTTTCTCACATCAATGCTTCTCTCTCTCAAATCATTTTTTTTTTTTTTAAAGAAAGAAGAAAATAAAATTGGGAGTTTAAAAATACATCATTCAAAAAAATTTTAAACAAATAAAACCTCTCCACTGTCCCCATTACCTTTGATAAGTCGATACCACTGTTTGCAGACAAGGGCTGCAGTTTTGTGTTCTTGGTATGGTGAAAGAAAGGACAGGATGTATTCCAAAACTTCTTCTGGCAGCTCAGACATCGACCTATTATGTCTAGTTTCCTCAACCTCTAATACTGGTTGGGGCTCCTCATCTTGCTCCATTGTCCCATCCAGCACAGTTTCTTCTTGGTCCACCACCATGAAACTGTCATCTTCACTGTCCGAGGAGCTGGCCATGACATTCCACTCGATAGCTATTGTGGGAAAGAAACAAACATCAGTATATACTGCTAGAAGCTCTGAAACAGCACAGGCTCATGCATCCAAGTTGTTCAGGATTTGTTTGAGACCCTCATGAAATCTGTTCTCTAGCACCTTCTTACACCAGTCATGAGCCACCTTAATTTGACAGGTACAGCTCAAGTACCAAGCCCATCCCAAATATCTAACAATCCCTACAGGCTTCTGATTGTATTTTTTTCTCTCCACTGAAAACTATAATAAGTATAACCATAAAACCAGAAAAGGGTTCTCCAACAATTCCCCGACTCAAGGATCTGACTGGAGGATAGCAAAGGAATAACAATTAGCCTCCCTTAGCCAGTAACATAATTTAAGACCTCCAACTTAGAAGGAAAAACTAACTGTGGGTGCTACAAAGAGTAATAAGAATATTCTGAGAATGTGATTTTAATTTTTTTTAAAAATCGTCACCCAAGGATATTTTTCCATTTATTTTCATATGGGGGTGGGGGAACACCAATGTGAGAGAGAGACATCGACTGGTTGCTCCCCACACGATCATGACCAGAGCCATGGACCAAACCGCAACCGAGGTATGTGCCTTTGATTGGAATCGAATCTGCGACTATTTAGTCTGTGGGCTGATGCTCCAACCACTGAGCCAAACTGGCCAGGGCAAGAGGATGTGATTTTAGATATTAGTTTTTCTAGCTTTTACACAAGATAATTCACTTAAGAGGATAATAAATGTTCCAAGAATAGGTCTAACTAGCTAAAATACCAAATACAAGGCATTTATACTACAAAACATCATAAAAGATCCAGGAAGTAAAAAAAACTGAAAATACAAATGCCCCTCAACAATAGAACAGATAAAGTGTGGTACATTCACACAATGGAATACTATATAACAAGGAGACACAGATAAACACGAATAAGTTTCTCAAGATAATACTGAGCAAAAGAAATCAGAAGAGTACAGACTACATGACCACACTTACATGAAATTTAAAACCAGGCATTATTGCCCTGGCCGGTTTGGTTCAGCGGTTAGAGCGTCGGCCTGCGGTCCTGAGAGACCCGAGTTCGGTTCCCGCTAAGGGCACGTGCCTCGGTTGCAGTTTGTCCCCAGCCCTGGTCGGTTGTGCGGGTGGCAGCCACTCGATGTGTTCCTTTCACATCGATGTTTCTCTCTCTCTCTGTTCCTCTCTCTCCCTCCCACTCTACCTGAACAAAAAATGGAAAAATGTCCTTGGGTGAGGATAAAAAATAAATAAATAAATAAAACCAGGCATTATTAATTTATGCTGTTGCAAGTGATGATAGTGATTACCTGTGGTAACCACTGAGAGGCTCCTGGGGTGCTGGTAAACTTGTTTCCTGACTGGGCAATGGTTCCACAGATGGGTTCAGTTTATGAAAAATTCACCAAGTTGAATACTTAATGCTTAATGCACTTCTCAAAAGTTTACCAAAATAAGTCATAATCAAGTTACCTATAGTGGAGGTAATTACTTTTCAAAAATCACTGTATTAAAATTTCTTCTTTGTGCTATCTATATTCCCTAAATTTTCTGAAAAGACCACATGTTAAAAACATACACACAGTGCCCTGGCCTGTTTGGCTCAGCGGTTGTAGTGCCGGCCGGCAGACCAAAGGGTCAGGGGTTCGAATCTCAGTCAAGGGCAAGTACTTGGGTTGCAGGTTTGATCCCCAGCCCTGGTTGGGGTTGGGGCTGTGTGGGAGGCAACCAACTGATGTATCTCTTCTCACAACATCAATGTTTCTGTTTCTCTCTCCCTCCCTCCCTCCTTCCACTCTATCTAAAAATGGATGGAAAAATATCCTCGCATGAGGATTAACAACAACAACAAAAAAGATCTGAAATGATCCAAAATGTAAGGGGGGTTGGGGAGAGCAAAGAACAGAAACCTCCCACCTCACCTCTACTGCTCCTGTAATTCATATACTAATTATGTACAACACCTTAAAAACTGGAAGAATAAGCACATTCAAAAATAGGAAAATATAAATTAAATGAAATTGCTTCCAAGATAATCTATTTACCAAGTCACCTCATGATACTGCAATGTGTCTAACAAAGTGGCTGCCAGAATCTTGATGATGAACGACTGCTAACTGGAAGCAGGGGAGCAGCCTAACCCCCTAGTTGGTGAAGAAAGGACAGCAGCAATTCCCTCCATGCCCCCAGAGTTAAGAAGTATTGTCCCACGTTTACTGTAAACTGTGCATTAGATAAAGGATCCTAGTTAGCCTCCTCTGACCCACTTTGGGTGTGCTTTTTTTCCCTGTGCTTAACTTGCTAGAGGGAAGTCCTCTCCCTTTCCTGCCCCAACTCCTATCCAACAAATACAGTCACGTAAAATATAAAATTATTAAAAAATTAAATTTATTTTCTAACAACAACAACAACAAAAAGCTGCCTTTTTCTACTGGAAAAAAAAAATCACTTCCCAGATTCTCTTATTCTTTCCCCTTCAAGTTACCATTTCTCATCTCCCATTGGCTATCTTCCCTGATTTATTAATTTTCTCATATTTTTAACCTCTACTCAGCCCTGAAATTCACCAAAGAGTCCAGAAAAACTGATTCCTTGAGTGTGGCTGCATTTTTTACATCTGAATTAAAAACAGCATCTCAAATACAGACGTTCCCTATCCATCTCAATAGATTGTAAGCATAAGGTCTGTTTCAGAACAAACTAAATCATTACTATTTTCCCCCAAACAAAATAAATTTATTTGGTTCCATAAAACAATTTACTTCCTTTCTAAATCTTCTCAAAGTATAATTAGCAAGCCCAAAGAACAGGGCTCACACTTTTGTAATATAGTTTTAAGCAATTCTCACCCTTCAACCATTTCATGTCCACAAAAGCATCAAACCCCATGCCCCTGAGGGAATGTCTGCTAACTTGGTCCTGAGCATGCCAATGAGAACACACAGGGATGGGCTCAGATGTAATTCCTCTGTAATTACTAAGCCCAGCATCAATTTGCACAGACCTTCATTTTCACTTCCTTGATTAGGTAATGAAATCATCACTCATATTCCCAGAGGACATAGAGGCATTTTGAAACAGTTTTTCATTTTTTCATGCAAAAGGAGCCCTATAAAACATTTCACATGTAAGTGCATTAACTTAATGAATGTGGTTTTCATGAAAAGTATTTAAAAGAAATCTTCCTCACCCTTCACATTTGTGTTTCCCCAAAGTGAGAAACAATTTGAAGTCAACTTATTGGACTACTTGATGGCAGAGACCATTTGCCTAGGCACCTTAACTTTCTAGCATTAGACATTCGGATGAGCCAAGGTTTATTGACATCTCTACTCAAAACCCTTGTGCTGACTTCATGCTATTTTATAATAGAAATCACATTATTAGTACATCCAGTAAATAGCAGATCCTACCCTTATATGTCACTGGATGTTGTCAAGATATTTTATTGGTCAGAATGAATATACTTCTCTGGTTCCTTGAATTTTGACCTTTTAAGGTGTATACCAGCTGGTCTGAGAGTCTGCTGCCAGACTCCTGACCCATACTCAATGACCCTTAGCTAATTCAAGAGGAATGGTACTGAAGAAACCATTTATTAGGCCCAATAGTATTTCTTCCTTTGAAAAACTACTATACTACATCCAACTAAATTCAAACCAGTTTTGAAAACGCTTCTGAAGTACAAATTAAAAGGTTAAGATTTTGAGACCAGGAGATTCGGCTACTGTTTTTAGCTGTAATCTTGTGTGACCCAGGTAAGTAACACAGAGTAAGATAGGAAAACCTATCTACCCCTAAGTAATAGAAAGTCCCCACCTACTTCACAAAGATTTTGTAAAAATAGTAAATATCAACAAACTATTCTGAACTCAGAAGAAATCAAGTAAGTTGTAAAGAGTTAAAATCGATTCAAAGAAATTCAAGATGAGGATTAAACTATTTTGTTTCTCACTTAAAAGTAACCGCTAGTCCTAGGATAATATGTTATTATTAATCATGCCCGAGATTTCTATATAACTAGACATCTGACAATCCTCTTGGAGTAAACACGTTTCTGAAAATCAGAATCTACTTCATTTACCAAAAAGGAAGCTGAAGATTTAAAATGTAGTCAAACTTATTCACAATTTCAGTAGGTTAAAAAACTTCTTACTGACAGTAAAATAAAGCACTCAGACTTAACTAAAGAATGCATGGCTAGATTGAATGGAAAGGGCCCAGTCATCCCTCAGCATGAGGTCTTCTGAAGTTTCAGGGGCAAAGTAGCAACCATGCACAGATATCATTAAAAACTCATTAAATTACTCACCTCAGCAGCAGTGATGTGAATTAAATGTTACTCTTGAAAATATAATAGTGTTGAATACAAATTTAAAGAAGACTGCAATAATGATTCATTCTAAGATGATAATAATAAACCTTCTTATTAGTATATGATTATTACCAGCTGCCTATAATATAGGCAGCATTATACTACGTCAAATGAAAAGGCTATAAAAAGTGGGAAAATGGTAAAATAAAATGTCTACCTTACTTTAGGCATTCAACAAACATCAATGGAACATCTGCTATATGTGAAAATACTGTGCTTAAATTCCCATGAGAATTACAAAAAAGAAGACATGCAACTATTTCCTCTCAGAGATTAGCCCAGTAAAAGCTAAAGACTCATAAATAGAGAATACCAACACAGGACAGATCTGTGATACAAAACGAGAGGCTTTAACAGTTCAGGAAAGAAAGAGATGGTATCCAACTGATATAGTTGTAATTATAAAAGTTTCACTTTCCTCAGGGGGGGAATGATACCATTATAATAACCTGGTTATTAATTAACAGGAAAGGAACAAGGGGAGACCAGATAATATAGGCATGCCATTGTACAGCTTTGCCAGAAAGCTGCAGTTTTTACATTCTCCAGGTCTGTTCCAAGAAGAATGACAGGGGAAGGGACTGGACAGAGGCAGTTTAGACACATGCCCATT